AGAATGGCTCCCCATGCGGCCACCGGATTTTCCCCTTTCTTTTTAATGTATGGGCGCGAAGTTAACCCTCCTGTGGCGACCCAGCTGAAGCTCTCGGCGCTCCAGGCGAAGTCTAAGTTGTCCGAACACGTTAAATTTAACATCGCTCAATTGTCTGAGGCGCGGGAAGCGGCCGTGCAAAATTCTGAACTCCGCCAGAAGGCGAACGAGAGGCTTCGGTTGGGGCGGGTGCAGGTGGTCAAATGGGTACCAGGGGACAGGGCGTGGTTGCACTGTCCTCAGGTGCCGCTGGCAACCTCGTCGAAATTGGTACGGCCGTGGCGGGGGCCAGTGGAGGTCGTGCAGGTTTTGCGGCCGCAATGTGTTCGCGTCAAATGGGGGAGGCGCCGGTGGTATGTGCACCCCTCAAGGTTAAAACCATTCGTCACGCCGCCCCGGGGTTCACACACACACACGCATGGCCAAACGTGTGAGGGTGTCGCCGACTTCCCGTCGTCGCTGCACTCGCCTAACCTGACGCCAACTGTTCCGCCCCCAGGTGAAACAGGAGTGACGGGCCCACGCCCACCAACCCCTCCCGGAGGGGTCGGGGGTCACTCGGCAGCGGAGCCTGACCCTCTTGCACCCGGACCGTCAACAACCGTCACTGAGCGTGCCGGGACGGGCCCTTGTGACGGACCCGCCGCGAGAACGCGCGCCAAAACGCGCAGACTTTTGTGAGGTCGGCCGTTGGGGGGCCTGGCGGACAAAAGGGGAGGGGTGTTGTGAGGTCGGCCGTTGGGGGGCCTTGCGGACGATGGGAAAGGTGACGTCCGGAGTGTATATATATGTTGGTTTTGGGGTGTTATCCGGGGGGGGGTGCGTCGGGTTATTTTTTTTCTCTCTCTCTCTCTTCCTCTCGTTGTTCTTGTTCTTGTTAAAAATTACGCGAGGCACACACGGGGTTTTTGTGAGGGATGCACCTTTATTCTGATTTTTTTTTTTTTGGCAGCCGGGGACGGCTGCGAGCTGTACAGGGGGGGGTGATGTAGAGGTGTAATTGCGCATGTCTACGAATGTTGAGGTGTGATTATGCATGGCCACGGATGGCCAACAAACACAAGGGGCGGGGTTACGGCCGTACACAAGGGTGGCGCTCGCACCGACGTCCGCATGTGTATCCCCCACGGGCCCCCCCCCTTGAGGGCAAGTCCTATAAAAGGTGATGAGCCGAAAGGCTCGGGAGTCGGGACTCAGCTATAACCAGAGAAGACGGAAGACCAGCTAGTGTAGGCCCCAGAGCTCCCCTGGCTCGCTGTCCTTATAAGGGCCGACCAGGGCAAGCCGGTGGCGTGGCCCCGAGAGCCCAGACGAAGCTGGTCTGGTGACTCAGGGAGCCGGGATCCCAGCTTAACCAAGCTGGGACAGATAGCCTCCCCTAGTCCCGTAGTGGAGGAATTGGTATAGGTTAGAGGGGTTAGCTGTCGAGAAATCCCTGTAGCCCAGTGACCTGTAATTAACTGTGTTGGTGTAATAAATAAGTGTGCCTCCGATCCTGTCGTCAAGCCTCCATATACTTACTACATATATATACCCAGGGGCGGTTTCTTCATTAGGGCGATTGGGCGACGCACCACCAATGTCATTCAACCACAGAGTCACGCTAGCCGTCACTGTCAGCCTCTGGATATAGTCCAATCAGCGTCATGTCACGTTCTGTGGAGTACCGCCTCTTTTGGGGCGATTTCACTCCGGCTGAGAATCGCCCCGAGTGGCCCCATAGACTTACATTCAAAGATGTTTTTTTTCGAACGGGGGCGCTCCAATGCATTATCTATGGCTTCCGGGAGGGCAAGCCCTAACGTGCTTACGTCATCATACGTGCTTACGTCATCATACGTGCTAACGTCATCATACGTAAGCACGTTTCATCCAACAATATAATTTATCGCTATCTAGTGGAATCTTTAATAAAATAAACTTGAGTGGTTTGTTTTAATAGTGAGTATATAAACAAACAAGATGTATTGTAAGAGTCACTTTATTTTTCATTAATATTAAAGAAGTGAAGTTGCCTTTACATGCTTAAGCTGTTAATTTATCCATTGCATGGGTGGACCTTATCCTTATCAATCATCCAGACATTTGCCCCCCCTGAGAGATTTTGCAGGAGCCGCCACTGTATATACCTACGAGGGGTAAAGATATTTTTTGAGGGGGGAGGGGGAGACCACAATTTTCGGAAACCTTTTGACATCAACTATTTACCCCACACCTTCTACAACGTTTTGGACTTGTGAAAGCCTCTTATATATTTGTTGGTGGAGAAATGTACAAACAGCCCACCGGGCTTTGACAATACCTTAGTATCTGTGTATATATATGTAAGGTTTTTAAGAAATATATTTTTCACCCGGGCAAAGCCGGGTACTTCCGCTAGTTATATATATATTTTAGAGCGGTGGCGCCCAGGCGTCACTCTGTCGTGACACCGCCCGCGTGGATATCCATGCAGTCACATAGCCACCCCCCATTAACACGGGCCACAGTACGACTGTGGTTTATGTATTTTGTTGAACTTCTTTCGCACCGTACGTGGCCAACCGCACTACTCGGAGGTGCGGGGGAAGGACAACCAACTTAAACACAAACCGCAGTTCTAGAGAAATTAGTTCGTCAATCGAGATGATTTAAAAGTGCGTAGCTCCTAAGGGCTTCCTCATTTCGGAAGGCAGAACGTTCCAGACGGCCGCAGAAGTGCATCTGAAAGCGCGCGATGTGAAGGCATCTGAGCCAAACGTCTCTGTGAGGATGACCGAGGTTCGCGTGATGGGTTGTGTTCCTTGACGAGATCACCAAGGTCGTGTGAAAAAAATAATAATAGGTTGGTTGTACCCTTCCTGCCAATAAAACAGGTGTTAAGATATTCTTGGTTCTTTCTGTAAAGTCACGTAGAAGGGAAATAATAAAATAATAAAAATATCAAACAATAAAAAATTCTCACGACTTTTGACTGCAACACAAGCAATCGTCATCAGGTGTGAAATCCACAGCAAGAAACGTCGTGAGAATTTTTTTATTGTTTTATATTTTTATTATTTTATTATTTCCCTTCTACGTGACTTTACCGAAAGAACCAAGAATATGAATCCCTGCAGTCACGAAAGCTTTAAATCAGGTGTTAAGACGTTCAAACAGCAAATCGATTAAAGTTTCAAAGACAACGCGTATATCATTATCGGAGTGTATTTGCATGTTCACCACAAGTGCCCTATGTGGTTCATGTGGATTCGGTTCCTTGCAAACGGTTTCTATTTGGTCTTTGAACATCTTAAAACCTCATGTTTTAATGCCAGAAAGGGTAAAACCTAAAATGTATCCCATGATACCGCATTGTGGTTCAAGATCAGCAGATAGTTTCAAAGAAAATTATTTTTATTTTATTTTTATTTTCTTTGAACCTATCTACGTGACTTTACCGAAAGACCCAAACAATATGAATTCCTGCAGTCACGAAAGCTCTAAGTCAAGTAGTATGATTGTGTTCACAGCTAAACACGTGGTGCCGCGGGCGATGATGATGATGATGCTGCTGCTGCGTCGGCAAGCACAATAAACAACAACTCAAAACATTCGTCAATAACAACACCCGTGCGTGCGTGTGGCCTTGATAAAAAAAACATACGTGATGGCCGACGTTTCGGGCAATGGTCCTTCTTCATAGCGCATAGTCGAAATAATCACGTGCCGAGATTATTTAGATTGTATATCGATTGTTTCGCCGCTATATATTGCCACGCGATAAGCCACGTCGCGTTAAACTCTCGTTTGTGATAGTCAGGTCGCTTCTGAGAAATAAGATAATAGCTTCGTGGGCCTTACCCTGGTAAGATGAAGGATATTTTTATTTTATTTGTATTTTATTTTTAAGTGATTTGTTTACTTTTCCTATACTTTGCACCTCCGTTCGTGTTTTTGTATCGCTTCTTGCTGTCGCGTTCTGACGCTGTGCCCCTACTGGACATCCGTGAGGGAAACAAAATAGTCTTAGGCTTTTTCGGTAAACTCACGTAGGTAAAGAAATCAGGTTAGCTTTGCATTTGGCTGATAGTAAGTCAGCAGAAGCAGAAGTCATGTTGTCAACGTGGTTCCAATCAGAAGGGGACATTTTTTGTGTTAGCATTGAATGTGTTTGTCAGAGTCTTGTCTAAATTATCGAGTTCAACTCGGAGTAACCTTATTCACTCCGAGATTAGTGATAGGCTAGCTTTAAATAAGATCTGTTTAGAGTTCGGTGAGGACACAGCAGCAGATGTGAGTGTGAAGGCGATGGGTATGACCTTGTTTGCGCGGCATCTCTTGAGGAAGGCCAGCGTCTCGAGAAGCTGTGACTTCTTGTCTCGTTGTCTGTCAAAAACTCTAACAGATAGGTGGAATTCCTCCCCGTAGAGGGTATTAATTCTAGATTTGAAGCTTTCGTGACTGCAAGGAGTCTTAGGTTTTGTCGGTAAAGTCACGTAGGTAAAGAAATCAAATCTGGAATGAAACAAAAGAGCTTTACAGCGCTACGGATTCCGCCTCGGAGGAGGTTGGACATTGGCCACGCCCATCAGGGACATCCCGCCCCTAGCCCCGCCCCTAGCCCGCCCTAGCCCCGCCCCTAGCCCCGCCCCTAGCCCCGCCCCTAGCCCGCCCCAGCCCCGCCCCTAGCCCCGCCCTAGCCCCTCCCCTAGCCCCGCCACTAGCCCCGCCCCTAACCCCGCCCCTAGCCCGCCCTAGCCCCGCCCCTAGCCCCGCCCCTAGCCCCGCCCCTAGCCCGCCCCAGCCCCGCCCCTAGCCCCGCCCTAGCCCCTCCCCTAGCCCCGCCACTAGCCCCGCCCCTAGCCCCGCCCCTAGCCCCGCCCCCCTCGCCTTTGCCCCGCCCTCCCCATCTCTTCCTCTCTCGGCCAATCAGCGCGGGTCCTATCGAGGGAGGGGTCAGAGTGTGCGGGTTGAGAGGTCACGAGGCACGTGTGCTGGCCATGGCGGCGTGCGGAGTGGGGAGGCTGCTGCTGCTGCTGCCCGCGACCTTGGCGCGCGGCGCAGGAGGCGCAGGAGGCGCAGCAGGCGGCCTCAGGCCGTCGGGGGGGCTCCTCAGAGGATTCGCGGGTCTCGTGGGTCCCGGCCTACAGACCCTGATGCCGCCGGCTCCTCCTGCCAGCCGAGGTTACGCCAAGAAGCCGGGTGAGCGGACACGCTGGGGGACGTGGGGATGACGGGGGAGACGAGGGGACACTGTGGGCACAGGGAGACACGGGGACAGGAGAGGCAGGGGTACGTGGGGAGACACGGGGACATGGGGAGACACGGGGACATGGGGAGACAAGAAAGTATGGGGAGCTGGTGAATGTTTATAGAAGTATGGGGAGACGAGACAGTGTTATGCGTCTTCCCCGACGGACGTGGCTGTGTGGGTGACACGAGCCACTCCAGGAGGCGAGGATACGGCGGTGAACGCGGAGACACCAGCACACGAGGAGAGATGCGATGCGATGTTGGCGGTGTACGTGCAGTGAAACACCGGGTCGTGCGAATTGAAACGGCAGAGAAAGCACGAGAGAAAGACACAAGGACGAAGATCCACCCCCATCGTTGTGTTTCACGCGTTACAAATCTGTGCATAGCATTCTTGTTTTAATCTTGTGTACATGAATCCTTGCGTGTACGCGTGCTATGTAAATGTTCGTAGATACAACAGCTAGCACCAATAACCCCCCCCCCACCGCCATGCGCAGCGTTCAAGGCGAAGGGCAAGGCCATGGTGAAGGAGGTGCTCGTCGACCCGGAGTTGAGTCGCGACCCCGAGGTCCTCGTCTCTCACTGCGTGGGCCTCAACTACCTCCGCGAGGGCAGCGACCCCCCGCTGCGTGCCGACTCCGAGTACCCGCCCTGGTGTGTGTGCAGGGGCGCAACTACGCGGGTTGGGGGTCATGCAGCGTGATGCGACGCGTAGGGGCCCCGGTCGGCCGCAGTGGGGCCGCCCGAATCGACAGATAAGCAGCGACATTTTTTTAAAGAAAAACTAGAGTAGAAATTATCTTAAAGAGCACCCCTGTTAACGACTGATTGCTAAACGGCGTGCCTCCATAGAGCCCAATGTGTAGTGCAGTGTATAGTAGTGTAGTGTATAGTGTAGTGCATCCATAGAGCCCAATGTGTAGTGTAGTGTGTAAATAGTATAGTACCTCCATAGACCCCAATGTGTAGTGCAGTGTATAGTAGTATAGTGTGTAGTGTAGTGCCTCCATAGAGCCCAATGTGTAGTGCAGTGTATAGTAGTATAGTGTAGTACCTCCATAGAGCCCAATGTGTAGTGCAGTGTATAGTTGTATAGTGTGTAGTGTAGTGCCTCCATAGAGCCCAATGTGTAGTGCAGTGTATAGTAGTATAGTGTAGTACCTCCATAGAGCCCAATGTGTAGTGCAGTGTATAGTAGTATAGTGTGTAGTGTAGTGCCTCCATAGAGCCCAATGTGTAGTGCAGTGTATAGTAGTATAGTGTAGTACCTCCATAGAGCCCAATGTGTAGTGCAGTGTATAGTAGTGTAGTGTATAGTGTAGTGCCTCCATAGAGTCCATTGTGTAGTGCAGTGTATAGTAGTAAAGTGTAGTACCTCCATAGAGTCCAATGTGTAGTGCAGTGTATAGTAGTGTAGTTTATAGTGTAGTGTCTCCATAGAGCCCAATGTGTAGTGCAGTGTATAATAGTGTAGTGTATAGTAGTGTGGTGTAGTGCCTCCATAGAGCCCAATGTGTTCGCTTACCGACCATTCCTCTGTTAACGACGGGCTGTTATTGGTACAGTAAATATTAATTCATACAGTTGATTAACCGCGTTTCTTTTAATACTGTGTGTTTATAATGTTGTTAGTGTCTGTATGTATTAATATCCATTGTTTAAATATTATAAAGTGCGTTTTTTGGGTGAAAATGTTAACTTTCGATGCTATCGGAACGAATTAAGCCTTTAACGTGTATTTCCTAGACTCGCTTAACGACCAAATCACTTAACGACCGGTTTCGCGGAACCAATTACATTGATACCTCGGTTCACGAACTTAATTCGTGAACTGACTCTGGTCGTGAACCGAACTGGTCGTGAACCGAGGCACATTTTCCCATAGGGTTCAATGTAAATCCGGTTAATCCGTTCAGACCTTTTTTTTTGGTTTTTGAAGCACAAAAATATGAAACAAATGACAATACTCATTACTGTAGTACTGTACAGTATAGTAATGTATAAAGAGAGAACACTAACCTTGCTTGAGATGACTTCTGGCATGGAGGAAGGCAGGTGGGAGGCGGATGGGAGACAGTAAGCACTCAAACGGGTGAACTGTACAATACAGTAAGTACAGTATTGTACAGTACAGTAGTACAGTACAGTACTGTATGTGCTAAAAAAGCACACCAAAAATCAAAAAGTCACTGAAAGTGTCTTCACAGTACCCACAGTACTTCTTTCTGGTTCTCTGCTTCTCTCCACGATCTTCCTACAGGAAGTCACGACCACGTGACAGCCTGGAATTAGCATAAAAATGGGCGCGGCTCCTGCTCGTGAACCGAAGCGGAGTTCGTGAACCGGAGCATATTTTTATGAAATTTTCTGTTCGTGAACCGAGTTGTTCGTGAACCGAAGCGTTCGTGAACCGAGGTATCACTGTACCGCCGTTAAGAGGGGTTCTATGTTCAGAAAATATGAGAACAATAATAGTTATAGCCTACATTGTGTATACGGTTTAAAACATCCATAGCTATTTCAGTAAAAGAGAGTCGGGAGAAAGGAGGGGGGGGGCACAGTCGTATCTTGCTTGGCCCCCGCGTAGAAATAGGTAGTATTGCTCCTGTATGTATGCATGTATTTTTAACTTCTTTTTTACCGAACGTAGCCAACCGTCCTAATCGAAGGTTCGGGGAATATTGGTCGGGTGGGGGGGGCGTTTGTTTACAAGGTCACTGGTGAAATCTAAGATGGGGTGATGAATGGACAGGGTGATTGGTGGACTAGAATACAGGGTGATGAGTTGACGGGGTGGATGGGGGTTTATTCACAGACCCCCAACTTGAGTCCTTATCACCCTTTCTCATTACCTGTGACGCGAGCGTGAATCCAAACGCTTACTGAGGTGTAATGCAGAGCTCTTGAGTCATTGCTGTATCTGCATGAGCAAATAATCCCAATCTGATCATATCTCAAGCCAAGCAGGGATAAGCCAGGTTTACTCTTTGGATGGGAAACTGCCTTTGGTCATGACAGTCAAAATTCATATCAAAAAGGGAAAAAAGTTATCAGCTGGAATTGAGCAGAATTTACCATTTCCATTCACTACTGAAGCTCAGAACGTGTATGTGGTTATTGTTCATTTTATTTAGAGGCATCTAATTAACATTTTACTGTACTCACCACAGAGAACTGTAGCGACACAATCTATGATAGCTAGCGCCAAACTGTGCCACATGCCTTCCCGCATGGCCTTGTGGGAGCCTCGGTACGTCTTCCGACCTGAAGATGTACCGATAAAGTTATTTTATTTTAGTTTTTCTTCCGATTCCGCTCCGATGAGGTACACGTATGTACACGTATGTCATCGGAATGGGATAATGGGAAAAAACTAATTTAACATGTTGGTTCTTCACCTCTACTATCGCTGATTCAGTGCTTCTGCAGACGAGCGCGTGACGGAAAGCGTTACTCAATCCACGCATCCTCGTGTTTTTTTTGGTTTTTTGTTTTCCCCTGTACCACCTGTCCATGCAAGGCTGTTTGAGCTGAATGTGGGACCCCCGTTGAAGCTGGATGAGGTGGAGCCTGACTCGATGGAGTATTTCCGACTGCTGCGGAAGCAGCACATGTGGCGCGTCAACAAGCTGAGCCGCCACAAACGCATCCGATGACTCCTCTCAACTGCGATTTCATTCAGCGCGGGACTCCCTTCAGCTTCTGCCGTGCGTGCTGCCGACACCCTGCCTGGGTTCACGTCCAGGCCCCAGATATTTCTATCCCTTCTACCTGTGCTTGGCGGCCTCATTCTCTCCATGAAATAAATATGCCCACCATGTGTGTACTGCGTCTTTATACGTGCTCACATTTTATCGTGATGTAAATACACGTGTTGTGCTGACTCGCACAACGGTGCATAGGCTCCACACGAAGGTCCCCGATCTCGAATGGAAACCTGCGACTGGTGGTATCTATGAAATGTCGCATGTTTCTGGGGAGCGTCTTCAGATGTGATCCAATTTAAACGCTTATCAAACCCTGCATTGGCCTCTCCTGTCGGCACCGTAACACACTCGCCTATGACAACGGCCACGCAAACTGGTCACCCATTGAAGCACACTCCAGGCACTAACCAGGAGTTTAGCATCCAAGGTCTGGCAATCGGGTGCAGTCCAGGTCATTTTGGCATGGGCTACGACCATTCGCTAATACTTTTGTTTATTTGATAGTATCTTGAGCTGGAGATATCACTTGAATTCGGTTTTTATTGCAAAAGGAAAATTGATCGTCACCCTTAAAGTTGTAGCGCTGGGTTTTGCCACAGTCACTCGGCAACCTCTTGGCTCATTAGCAAGTGGGTGCTGCTAAGCTGCTAAGCGCTCGTGTCTCGGTGTCTCCTGAGTACCATTTTTGGCCCTCTTCATTGTCGCTTCACCGTGTTCCTCTGTAAATTGTAAACGTAAGATATCGTTCTCAAACGACGAGTGCAGGTGTGGAATCTTCTGCCTTTGAAGTATGATTTATAAAATAAAAACATATACATGTGTATCTTGCTGTTGTCTTTTAACCATTATTACGGGATCACCCAGAGAATGAATCGTTCCAGTCGTAGTTATGGGAATCTAGAATGGTGTAAAACTTCTACGAATGTAGGTTTTTGCGTTTGTGCTGTATGTATTTATGTTGAACTTCTTTCGCACCGTACACAGCTAACCGTGTAAATTGGAGGTGCTGTACAGTTTTCCGATTTCTTTTTGTACCGCTACGCGTTGTTCGGCACCTCGTCCCAACGTTTTTCTCTGCGTGCCGGGGCTTCAGGAAATTCATTCTCATCGACACCTCTGCAGGTGGTGACGTATGCCAAGCGATAGTGTTGCTTTTTTGCAGAGGTTTGCGGTTTAAATCCGGCAGCCCGTTCTAGTTAGTACTGCCGGTGTGTTAACCATACAATATGTTCCCACCATCTGCTTCACAGGAGATGTTATGCGTCCCACGACTATTCAAAAAGAGTAGGCCATTGTGTGCCAGTTTCGTTCTAATTATGAATTTACCATTTCTGATTGGCCTGACTACCAAATGTACTTATTTTCTTTAACTTGAGTTCTGGACGGTGATCGATTCCTTCATGCATTACTGTGTGCATGTATCGTGAGCCGGGTCTGTTTCAGTCGGTGACTTGGTGGGTCGCGTGTTGCGTTGTGACCCTGGCCACGGCTGACACTGGTGGGGCAAGTATACCTGAACCAATGATGGGTCTCTTTTTCACAAGCGTGGTGAAGTATGTCAAATGACACCCACCAATAACAGCACAGGAAGGCCTTCAGCCAGCAGTGGATTAAGGAAGGGGTGGAGGTTAATATGAAGGAATTTGCTTGCCAAGGTTCTGTCGGATTAAGTAATGGTCATAGCCCATCATCCTTCGGGGGTCAATAAGATGAGTACCACTTTGTGGGGAAATCAATAGTGGTTAACGAGCACCTGATCAGCCGCTTTCCCATTCACCGGGACCTTGATAACGTCACTCGTCATCGCTTGAAGTCACGCCAAGCCCTTCATCAATGTGAGTTCAACCCGATGGAGCGTGGGGAGCTGAATGGAGTTCAAAAGGACTCACTAACACCACCTTGTGAAGACCCAACGCAGAAGATCACTGGGTTCGATCTTCCAAACCAGGGCAGTAGATGTCGGTATCTGATGCACAAATGGAAAATTAAAACGCTCCAGTGTGCGACTGTGTTTCATCAGAACAGACCGGAGCGCGACGCTTAACGACGCAATGGCAGATCCACAAATACGAAGGAGACTTCACAGCTGCTCCTGACGCGGTTGGTTGTGTGCCTTCATAACCACCTGCACGTGAAATTGGAGTTGTTGCTCTGCATCAGCCATACGACAGAAGGATAGTGATTGCTCTTCTTCTTGGTTCTTTCGGTAAAGTCACGTAGAAGGGAAGTAATACAATAATAAAAATATAATAAAATAAAATAATTCTCACGACGTTTCGGCGACAACGCAAGCAGCCGTCTTCAGGTGAAGAATGAGACACTGCCAAGCTAGGAGCTTATATATACGCTGGGTTGGAGGTGATTGTCCTCTGAAAGATTCGCCATAGTAATAATGTGTAATTGCCATGCCTGACGATTCAAGGCTGTGAAGAGGAGATGAGCCACAACTGCGATGCTCGTTGGAGCAGGAACTTTGATTTTGTTACTGCAGTGTAGGCACCTTCCAGTAGGGGGCAATAGTGCACCATACCGCGCCTGTTCACAAGCAACTGTGCGACCAGTTTAACATTTTAATGAAGTAAAAAATCTAAACATTATTCACGTCCTTTGTTTAAATGAATGCATTTGTGGCCATACACCCTTCGAAGAATGAATGATTTTGAATTCACCTGTGATTAAAAATAAAATAAAAACTAGCGCCCAACGTGGGGCTCGAACCCACGACCCTGAGATTAAGAGTCTCATGCTCTACCGACTGAGCTAGCCGGGCTTACGTGCACACTCACGGGATAGCCCTTACATAGGCAGTGACTATCGGGATTTGTGTCAGTGTGTGGGGGGAGCGGTGGTGTAGCGGTTAGCGCGCTGCGCTATGAATCCGGTGACCCGGGTTCGATTACCGCTCACGGCCAGCACCAGTGACGATTATCTGAACCGGTCCCGGGCTTCCCCTAGGTTGACTCAACCTCAAATGAATACCTGATGCGGTGTGTAACATCGCCACTGGCGAGACAAAGGCGGCCGGGTGTGGTGCTGGCCACCCAAGAGCCGAATGACTCACAGGACTACACCAAATAAATTAACTTGAAGTCTTTGTCGAGGCTCGTGAAGGACGCAACTGGCCAGTAGGTGGCAGTCGCCCTCCAGATTCCAAGAACACAGGATGAGATGTTACTACCCTTTGTGCAAGCACTTCCAAGAGTTCATGAACAGTGAGCCTGGCGAAATTTGGGGAGCGCATCATCAGTAGTGTACCTTTGGTTCCTAGGGTGTTTCGGCCTTTCATACTATACACCCTCCCCAAAGGCGGCCAGCGACAGGGTGATCAATCCTACGCTTGTGTCCCATTCCCAATTAGTCATAGGAGTTGCCTTGTTGTAGAAAGCCAACATCCCATGGGACTATGCATGGCAGGGGCGTCCTCCTCCCTGAGTCAAGCAATGTTGACCGCATACCTCCTGGCCCTCTCACTTCGGGGCCCAGCTGGGGTCTTTCCTCTTCATCCAGAGCCACTGACTGCTGCCTTCTGCCGCCTCCGATACAGCTCTGATTGCCGAACGCTGGCTCTGGCCCTTAATTCCCAGGTCTCTAAGCAGTCTGGTTGTAGATGTTGCCACAAAACCTCTGCAGCCCACCTCCACTGGTCAGACTTCTGTGTTCCAGCCATGATGCCGTGCTTCGGCAGCCAGATCGGCATAGCGCAGATGTTTTCGCTCATAAGCCTCATCTACTGAGTCCTCCCAGGGTACTGTGAGCTCAATGATGAAGACCTTCTTGAGCGAACGGGACCAGAGCACCATGTCAGGTCTTAGGGTGGTGGTTGCGATCTCCGGAGGAAACACAAGTTGCCGGCCAATGTCAGCTAGCATTTTCCAGTCGCGGGCCAAGCGCAGCTGGTCTCGCTCTATTGGTGTAGAGCCGCTCTTCGGTGGTTTAGCCCCTTCGCGGACAAAGGTCGTCCGTAAGGGGTGTGATGCTGCTGGGGGTGGGCACGGGGAGGGACGCTCACAAGTCACAACAACAAGCGGAGCGCCGTGCCCCTGGACTGCTGATGAGAAGCTGAATGGCAAAATTATTTTGTTTGTCTTGAAATCAACGCTGCTGAAATTATCCACTCCCACGAGCTAGATCGTGGTCACTGATGGCATGTGTAAAACAAAACTAAGTTTAATCTCTATTTGTTGAGTCGGACGTGTGATTGTCTCTGGTGAGATGTTAACTACCTCGCCAGGTATACAGGAGGTGGTGCCGTGCCAGCCTTCGTAGGTGCTCGCTCGCAGCACTTATTTTCAATGTAGATTTGTCGTAATGTAGATTGGAAACTAATTTTTTTAGAAGTGTTTTTTGTTGTTTAGTTTGTCCTTCCCCTGCACCTCCGATTAGCCCGGTTGGCGGCGTACGGTGTGAAAGAAGTTCAACATACATGGGCTCCACGGTGGCGATGAGATGTCAACCACCTCGCCTGGTATACAAGGAGGTCGTGGACTCGATCCCGAGACCCTGACGATGCCTGCTGCTGCTGCTGTATATCTGCGGTGTCTCTGGGTTTCCCCCTCGACATTTCGAATCAACATCCACGCGTTTAGACTTCAGAGTATTTGTCTGCTATGAATGTCCACACGATGAGAAGCCACTTCGTTGAGCCGTCATTTCTGGTCAGGTGGCTTCTGAAACGAAGAGCTACACAGCTCAGTGGGCCTTGCCTGGTGGAAACATAAACTAGTTTAGTTTTTCCATCATCGAGGGGGTTTTTTGGGTTATGGGCCGTCCATAAATGACGTCACGCGATTTGTGACGATTTTTGGCGCCCCCCCCCCTTCGTCACACTGCGTCACAAAAAGTCAGACCCCCCCTCTGCCCCCCCCCAAAATAAAACATGCTTCAAATCGCTTTAAACTATTGTCATTGTAGTGCGTATTTAATGTGACGATGCAATCTGATGTTGTAGGAGAAAACATTTATTAAAAAGTATATTTAATTAAGTAGAACGTGTTTGTCTATCTATATATATAAAATCGCAAATCTGTCTGTCTGTGTGTGTGTCTGTCTGTCTGTGTGTCGCCGGACCATACGCAGTTTCATTGGACGAAATGTGAGGGATTTGCGAGACACGATTGGTCCGTTTGGTTTTCCACGGCGGTTGCCCCTGGCAACGGGTAGCGACGCATTCGCTGCGGGGTGGACGCCATTTTTAATTATCGTTAAAAATATGCGCACGCATTAACACGCGACTCTGAGGTAAATTCATCAAAGTTTCACGTCCTCTTCACTCCCCCCCCCACCCCAATGTGTGCAATTACTATTATAGGGTCGGTAGATAATAAAATTATAGCGATTAGACAGTATTATTGTAGCGCGGGGGGGGGGGGGGTAACGGCCCCAGTACCCAGCCTCAGCCGGGTGGGCAATTTAGGCGAGGCCGGAGGCTCTGCACGGTACTAGGCCTCGACACCCCACCACACTATAGGCCGTACATATTACTGCACAGCGGCCGAGGAGATCGTGGCTGGGGGGGGGGGGGGTAGCAGCCCATCTGTGTATATATGTAAGGTTATTAAGAAATATATTTTTCACCCGGGCAACGCCGGGTACTTCTGCTAGTCTATATATATAAAATCGCAAATCTGTCTGTCTGTCTGTCTGTGTGTGTGTCTGTCTGTCTGTGTGTCGCCGGACCATACGCAGTTTCATTGGACGAAATGTGAGGGATTTGCGAGACACGATTGGTCCGTTTGGTTTTCCACGGCGGTTGCCCCTGGCAACGGGTAGCGACGCATTCGCTGCGGGGTGGACGCCATTTTTAATTCCCGTTAAAAATATGCGCACGCATTAACACGCGACTCTGAGGTAAATTCATCAAAGTTTCACGTCCTCTTCACTCCCCACCCCAATGTGTGCAATTACTATTATAGGGTCGGTAGATAATAAAAATTATAGCGATTAGACAGTATTATTGTAGCGCGGGGGGGGGGGGGGGTAACGGCCCCAGTACCCAGCCTCAGCCGGGTGGGCAATTTAGGCGAGGCCGGAGGCTCTGCACGATACTAGGCCTCGACACCCCACCACACTATAGGCCGTACATATTACTGCACAGCGGCCGAGGAGATCGTGGCTGGGGGGGGGGGGGGGCAGGGGTAGCAGCCCATCTGTGTATATATGTAAGGTTATTAAGAAATATATTTTTCACCCGGGCAACGCCGGGTACTTCTGCTAGTATTTATTTAAAGTTGCGCATTTTGATGTGACGTCACATTTCTCAAACCCCCCCCCCCTCGTCACACATCGTCACAAATGTCTGACCCCCCCCCCCACCCCTAGGTGCATGCCGTCATTTATGGACGGCCCCTTAGATCGCGTTAAACCCGCCTTCCACCCGACACAGCCAATTGGTAATGGTTTGCCATGTAAACAGAACACAACATTTACAATGCTGCTGTCAGTCGGTCACATTTACCAAAATTAAATATCCCCAACGTCGGCACGTGCTTCGACCAGTTGTGCCGCTGGCATCCACAACATTTAGTATCTTGAGCACCGCGTTTCGCCAGTAATTACACGTAAACAGAACACAACATTTACTATCTTGAGCACCGCGTTTCGCCAGTAATGAAAACCGGCGTCATCATCAGGCGGACAGACAGAATTGTCAGAAAAAGAACGGATAATCCACTGTAACATTACAAATGTTGTCAATTGCTTGTTCGCCATCATCGTCAACGCGTGCCTGGAATCTTCTCCAGGTGGTCTCCAGAGCCCAGATTGTTCCAAATTTTCACAAGTGTTAACATTTTTTTAAACACCCTGTTTATTCTAGAGTTACAAATCTCACTTTGATGGAGGGTAAGGGGCCATCCATTGAGTAGGTGCGCAAAAATCTGTCAAAAACTCGACCCCTCCACCCTCCCTGTACGCACGAGGACTTTTCCCCCCCCCCCCCCCCCCCGCCGCCTCCCATGAATCCTATAGAACGGCCGATATTTAATCGACGCAGAAGCGATCAAGGAATCATAATATTAACGTGTTTAAACAGACAGTCCACCGCCGGACTATCTAACTCATTTGAAGGCCAATGTAGACAAATTATTATCGAGGCATCACCCCCCCCCCCCCCCCCCCAATTTCCTATGCGTGCATAGTCAGTAGACCCCTCTCCATGCGTACGGACTAAATGGACGGCCCCTAAAGGGGGGGGGGGGCCGTCTGGTGGTGGTGGTGGTGGTCATCTCACGCCCTCTGCTGGCCACGCTCCCTCATCGCCCACTGCCCCCGTCTCCGGGGGAGCCGAAGGAATAACGGGACCCAGGGCCCATGGTGGTGGAGGTGGAGGAGGTTGGTTAGTGCCGGTCGAGTGGGGGGAGACGCAGAGGGGGGAGACGAAGAGGGGGGGGAGACGCAGAGGGGGGGCGCAGAGGGGGGAGACGCAGAGGGGGGTGGACGCAGAGGGGGGGGGGAGACGCAGAGGGGGGGGGAGACGCAGAGGGGGGGAGACGCAGAGGGGGGGGGAGACGCAGAGGGGGGGAGACGCAGAGGGGGGGGGGAGACGCAGAGGGAGGGGGGGAGACGCAGAGGGGGGAGACGCAGAGGGGGGGGGGGAGACGCAGAGGGGGGAGACGCAGAGGGGGAGACGCAGAGGGGGGGGGAGACGCAGAGGGGGGGGGACGCAGAGGGGGGGGGAGACGCAGAGGGGGGGGACGCAGAGGGGGGGGGAGACGCAGAGGGGGGGGGGGAGACGCAGAGGGGGGGGACGCAGAGGGGGGGGGAGACGCAGAGGGGGGGGGGAGACGCAGAGGGGGGGGACGCAGAGGGGGGGGGAGACGCAGAGGGGGGGGGGGAGACGCAGAGGGGGGGGGACGCAGAGGGGGGGGGAGACGCAGAGGGGGGGGACGCAGAGGGGGGGGGAGACGCAGAGGGGGGGGGGGGAGACGCAGAGGGGGGGGACGCAGAGGGGGGGGGAGACGCAGAGGGGGGGGGGGACGCAGAGGGGGGGGGAGACGCAGAGGGGGGGAGACGCAGAGGGGGGGAGACGCAGAGGGGGGGGGGGGAGACGCAGAGGGGGGGGGGGACGGCTTCGAGAAACCGCAGCGGGACTTGGTGGAGAACTCGACCTGCCGAGGACTGACTCGACATCCAAGTTTTAGACTTCGGGGACGACTACGAACTACCCGGGAGACTTAAAGATAAAAACACTTAAGGGGATGCCCAAGACTGACGTTGAGGTTGGCCCTGGAGAGGTTTAGAAATAATTAAGCGAGACTGAATATACAATATACTGCACCCTACATCTCTGTAAGGGAGATTGAAGGGACGCCTCAAAGGGAAATTAAGGAATACTCCGTTAATACGAGAGGGATAGTTTATAGCATTACTCTTGTTTTGCTGACGAGGGGGGATTTATTGAGACTTGAGGGAGAGAGAAAGACGCGAAAACCGAGAGACAATGAAGTCGTCGGGCCTAGGACCCGTCCGCGCTCGCGACGCCTCGGCCTCGCCTAGCGGCTCCCCGGCCCGGGTGCAGCCCAAGGCGGGCGAGCTCGGGCCCGGGGGCCCTGGGGGGCCCGGGGTCTCCTCGGGCTCCGCGGGGCCCGAGCAGCAGCAGCAGCAGGCGGCCCGCGCCGTCCTCAGGGAGGCCGTGGACGCCGTGGTGAAGAGCTTTGCCAAGCACACGCATGGCTACGGACGAGGTGAGCGGGGTCTTGGGCCCCTCTGAATGCCTCCTGGTCTCCGTAGAGAACCCCACGAGAAGCATGGACAGCCCCTGGGTCCCATAGACATCCCCTGGAACTCAGAGAATCCCTGAGTCTATAGAGAACTCGTGGTGCCATTGAGAACTGATGGCCCCATCGAAAATCCCAGAGGCTCATAGATGAGCCTTAAGTATTATAGATTAAATGATCCATATATAACCTCTTGTATCTCATAGCTAATCCCAGGGTCCCCTCGGCATAGAGAGAACCCCTGATTCCCATAGAAACCCCTGATTCCCATCGTTCCCGACATCCCTTCGTCAGTCCACTACTTGATAACGAGCTCCTACAGCAGTGCGGGTCGCAGGGGGTTATTTGATCATTTTTCATCACCAGTGGCCCGGTGTAGGTGAATCAGGAGAACAACAAATACAGACATCGTCCCACGGAAGTACACTACAACAATATATGCCCAGGACAACGTGTTTTGTACATCGTGATGACCAGTCCAAAGACTGTACTTTCCAGACTCATATTTGCTTATGTTTCGAGCTTTGGTCACAAGCGGGCTTTTTATATGGGGTCACAAATTGGTATTGGTGTCTGGTCACAAAAATAACACAATTTACAACTCTCATAAATCATTGCATCCTTTAAAATGTTTACTGCTGCTGCATTGACATACAGTATATGTAGGGCGATGGTGAGACACTTAAGTCAGCTTTACAAGGAAAACCAGCAGGGACACACACGAGTTCTGAAATAGACACGGTAATGGATTGCAATTTTTGACCCACCAAAAAACACAACATAAACCACATGCCTATACAACACACACGTGCATTAGGGTGCCGATCATTATGCACATGGGAAAGTGAAGATTCAGTTTTATTGGAATCACAGCCTCTCAATTGGTTGCTTCGGATGTAAAAGCACAACTGCTGAAAATGACATTCTAATCCTTTAAGATTTATAGGTTGCTCAGTGTCCCCTCTTTTATTCTCTCCATCTATGACTCTATGCCTCTACATTAACCGGAGTGCATTGACTGTGATGCATATCCAAACTCTGTCGTGCAACCGGTAAATATTGAGGATTTGTCGTCAAACTCGTGGTGGCTTCAGTGTAACAGGAAATTCATGAATCAGGAGTCGTTCAATTGCAAATAACTTATTAGAATGTTTAGTTTGCACCCTTCACGCACGTATTATACATGAGGTGTCTAGCCAAGTCAGACACCCTTTTGTTCCATTTTATTCATATTTCTGATGCAAACGTCATAACAGGTAATATGCGCTGGTTACGCACCGTCTTCATGATGCACATCGCTATGCTTCCTTGCACGATTGAGTTAAGATTTACAAAAGCACCGCCACATTTTCTCGTCCACCTCTTTTGTGCCGTACGTTTTTGTTTGCCGGGCGGTGGCGGCTACGCACGCTTTGCAATCCACCACTGCTGAGACGGCGGGGGTTGGTGGACCGCACACATGTTTCGAAATTCCCTTCCCGTAGGCGTCGAGGAGATGCTATACCCTGCCTCGCCAAGAAACCGTAGTACAGCAACGTGCGGACTTGTCCTGTTCCACTTTTATGGTGGTGGTGGTGGTGGTGATGATGGCTGGACTGCTTCACGGCACTCGGTAAAAACCGATGAAGTTCTCCAGTGATAATAATAATCACAAATACGCCTCGTTGAAGCGGTGTGCAGACACAGGTCATACACCTTGCGATTTTGGATGCTGGTGAGGTGCAGAGGCTGTCAACTCAGTGGTGGCCACAATTTATCAGAGGTTGGGAATCTGTCACAGACGCGATTCCTACCGGTGGTCTCAATACACCGGGGTATACAGTGATATGCCATACCGACACTTCTCAGAACAAACAAACGCGGGGAGGCCTTCATCCATTCATCCAGCAGTGGTTGGAGGTGAAAGGCGTCGCGTGAACGCGATCTATTATCATTACGAGCGTCGCGCTCGTGTTGTTGCCGGGCAGTGCGGTCACGGTAGGGTGTCGTGGGAGTCTCCCTGGGAGAGTGGCGAGGTGATGAGCCGTTAATTATACCGCGATTGTTACGTGCTCATTGTCCCCCCGCGTCGCCCTGGCTTGAGAGTGCCCTGCCACCGCGAGACATCGCTCACCGTCACGACCGCAAGCCTGCTGCGCGCGTTCTCATAATCTCACACGCCCTGCTCCTCTGCCAAAAAAAGTCGAGACCCGGAATAATATAAAAACTGGTGCTCTTTTAATGTGTAGGTGATGGTGAAAATAATAATGATAGCATGCATGCACATTCCCTGTTGTCATCCCACTGCTGGGTGTGGGCCTTTCCATGCTGTGTGGGTCGTGAGGGCTGTTTGACTATACTTCCTGCTGCGATGGGATGGCACCAACGAGTACAATAAAATATAATAACAATGCTCTTTTAGTTCCCCCCAAAAAATCCTCACTTGAGTCTCACTTTTTTTCATGATGGTTCTTACTCCATTGCGATGTTGAATAATTCCGTTAATGGGAGTTTGGCTTCGCGTGGCAGGGAGTAGCAAGAGAAAACCCATCAAACATATGAGCGGATATTACACAAAACTCCACGCAGATATATTAAATCAGTGTTCATTGCAAGGCCCGCGGGCCACTGGCAGCCCCTGGTGGCCTTAATGCGGCCCCCGATGTGTGAAACGCCCCATCATGCTGTCAAACCCAATCGTTTAAAATGTGTGGCGGCTCTCACACTGATGTCTTTTTGGCGAAAGTGGCCCCCCTCTGAAAATTAGTGACGAACACTGGATTAAATAGTGCCCATTTCCCGCTTGTAATCCAGCAAAGTGCGGGATTACAAGCAAAGTGCCGGATTACAAGCGTGCTCCACACTGCGCGGCTGTATTTTCATTTTAAAAAACCCGAATGTACAGAACTGGACGCATGAGCCTTTGAAGGGCCCCCAAATGAACACGAGGCTGTGTACATCAAAAAACAATAACGGCCCCTTCCTACGCCCGGATGCCATGGCATTGTGGTCTCGTCGTGTAAAGGAACGAGCCATAAGTCTGCGTGAGAACTTGGCACGGAGTTTCCATCCACTCCCCTCCCTCCTCCAGCGCTTCCCCCCGCGAGTTGCCGGCCCCCTCAAACTTAACGGTCACAACTGCCCCCCCCCCCCAGGGCTGCTGCTGCTGGTTGCTGAAGCAGCAGCACACCCGCCAAACCTGCCGCTTGCTTTGTCAGGGGTTATTGGCACACCTCCAGACTGCCTCCTGGCAGCCATTCTCGTGCTCCATCTCCAGACGACGAGCAGCGCATATCGCTCTTCGGAGCAGCGACGCAGCGGCCTGGCGGCAGGGCGCTCGCCGCTCGTTGCAGAGGTTTGCAGACTGAACCCAAAGGGCCGCCTCGGTTAATAACCGTGTGAAATGCGCTGCGTCTGCTACGCGGAGGATGTTAAAAGATCCCGCGATGTCCTTAGAAAACGTGGGATTACATGTAGCAGCATCGGTCCCTATTGGCAGACTCTACCTGTAAAACATTGCATCTCCGTGATTGTCTTGCGTTCTAAGTGTGGCACGAGCCCTTGGTGTCTTATCACGGTGACCACCGCCCCCCCGGTGTTGGGTCACGGTAGTGATGGCTACCACAGACATGGCACAGCCACCACAAATGAGGCAGCGCATTTTGAGACGGCACAAACGAGACGGTGCAAACAAGAGATAGTTCAGAAAGTGAAAATCTGACAGCGCTGTAAGAGACCTCTTGGCGTGCTTGTGCATTGCGGTGTCAATCGTCACTGGTTAAGGGAGCCTTGCATTACTCACGTGGCAATGGCTACAACTGTCCGTGCCCTCTTACGTGCGGTGGGTGTTCTCTAGGTACACCACCTTCAGAGAATCCATCACACTCCGATAGTGGATTCTTGAATCTATCGGTGCAATTTTGTATGCGTTGGATGGGTTTCGCCAGGTGCTCCACTTCCCCACCCCCCACATGAAGCCAGCTGCTCAAAGCCCCTCGTCCTTTATTAATCCAGGATAGCCTCACTGAGTCTCAAGACTCTTTGTCGGGAGGGTCATGTGCTCACTAATGGAATTGGCCAAGCCTCTCCGCGCAGGGCTCTTCTTGAAAGCAAGCTCGGGGACTCAGTGAGGCTTTCTCAGACAAACAAATGACGTTATCTTATTAAACACCAGCGGCTCGCGCGCCAGGCGGGGGAGTTCGAAGGCAGCGGCGAAGAGTGGAGCCGTGTGGGAGGAACGGGAGAGAGAGGAGGAGAAGAAGCTGGTCAGAAACCCAGAAAACCCTTGAAAAACAGGAACGCCGCATTCCACCACCACCCCATGCCTGGTTGCCGAGACAGATAGCGCCGTATTTTGCAGCCGCCCCCACATGCGATAGGCGAACGGTGCCAGGCCGGTGAGATTAGATAGCGGAGCGGGGGGGCGACGGGGCTGTGGCCGTGATAATTTTGGTGCACGAAATCGGTGTTGAAAAATATTTGCCAAGTAATTGCGTCTTTGCTTTAAGTCAGCGATGGCTTTGATTGGATGCAAACCGTCAAGCGTGATGGTGGCTCTGACTGTGATGGGGCGAAACTAACGAGTCGGAATGACGACACAGACGAAAGATAAATTAACAACGCCAGATACTGCAGTTGCACCGAGGAAGACCAGACCATGATAATTGGCTATTAATACACATGCAACGATTTACTTAGTTCACGGGATGGCTGACTGCCTCACAGCAACATTTCATAACTGGTGGACTACTTGTTTGACCGCTATACTCAACTAAATTTTGATTTAAAGCTTTCGTGACTGCAGGGATTCATCTTCTTGGTTCTTTCGGTAAAGTCACGTAGAAGGGAAGTAATAAAATAATAAAAATAAAACATTAATTTTATTATGTTTTATTTTTATTATTTTATTACTTCCCTTCTACGTGACTTTACCGAACGAACCAAGAAGATATACTCAACTAGACAAACAGAATGATTCACACACACCACGACTTGATTGAATGTCCATGGCTTACCACCGACTGGGCTAAGACTACGACAAAACATGTAAAAAGAATTGCCAGCCACATTAACCCCTGCGTTGGGAAGGGGCGCACCATAATTGCCTGTGGTGTACACCCCGGAGCCCCACCCCACCACCAATCCTCCCGCCCCCCCCCCCTCAAATCTGTCAAGGCCAGAAACGTGCGTGGAGTTATGGGTGCGCTGAGAGCCAAACGAGTCCCCTCCACCCCGGGAGGCGCCGTTTTCCTCTGTAATTTAAAACATCACCGGGTGTAGGACGGGGGAGGAGTGGTACAGGGAGCTCTTGAGGAGACTCTTGTCTGACAGCCTCAAGTTCCCTTTGTGCCTTTTTGCACTTTGCAGATATTTCGAAGTCATCTTTTCTCAAAATCCTGCAATAAAAACAATTATAATATTAGCATACGTTTACATGCCCCTTTTGTCAATCCGCTGCTGGATGAGGGCCTCCTGAAGCCGTGTGGATTTCAGGGATTTGTATGTATTTATGTTGAACTTATTTCACACCGTACGTAGCCAACTATGCTAATCGGAGATGCAGGGGAAGGACAACAAACTAGAAAAATCAGTTCTGAATAAATTAGTTTTCAATCTAGCTGATTTAAAAGTGCATAGCTCCAGTGGCTTCCTAATATCGGAAGGAAGAGCATTCCAGATGGCTGCAGAAGTGCATCCTAAAACACGCGGTGCAGTGACTGTCTTTGTTCGATGGTTAGCCACATGCCACTGCAAGAATGGTCGGAGTTTGTGTGATGGTTTATGCTGCTTGACGAGATCAAAGTATTGTGGTTCATTTGTGGCGAGCGCTTTGTGTGTAATGAGTGCGACCTTACAACGTATTCGTTCAGCAACCAGAAGCCAATGCAGCTTGGAGGGCTCTGGTCGGACATGGTCGGGTCTTGCAGTACCTGCCACGGCACATGCCATAGAATTTGTGTCATCGTACTAGGCCGTGGCAGTCAGTGTAGGTTGGTGAAGAAAGGGGAGGGGGGGGCATAGACACGAGGGCTTGTGTGAACCCACGACAAACGAGGTTTAACCATCGACAAACCATCCCGTTGGATTCCGCGTGCGATTCGACGCTCGCGAGGATCTCGGCTAACGGGCGGATCGTCGCGTCGTCGGCCGACCACGAGTGATCCTCAGAAGGCTTCACGGGGCGGGTCGTCGTGTCGCCCCCACAGTGAACGTGGTGGAGGCGCTGCAGGAGTTCTGGCAGATGAAGGCCGCGCGCGGAGCGGAGCTGAAGAACGGGGCCCTCGTCGTCTACGAGTCCGTGCCTTCCAACAGCCCCCCCTACGTGTGCTACGTCACGCTGCCTGGGGGGGCGTGCTTCGGCAGCTTCCAGGTGGGGGTGGCGGACGGGCAGATCGTGCGCAGATTTAAACTATTTTGGTATTTTTAACCAGGTAAGGCCCACTTGAGCTGTGTCGTTTTTTTCAGAAGCGACCAAATTAAAGCAATTTCTCCAGCTCAAGATAATACGAAGCGCCATGAAACATGTGTGCAGGCGACAAACAAAATCATTATATAATGGTGATGATCCATGCCCAAATCAACTGGACTGCACCCGATTGTCAGACCTTGGATGCTAAACTAAACTGTTTATTTTAACAGGTCAGGCCTACTAAGCTATGTAGCTCTTTTTCAGAAAAGACCTGACCACAATAATAGCCCAGCAAAGTGGCTTATCATCGTGTGGAAATGTATAGCAGCCAAATACTCTCAACGCATGTTGATTTCTAAATGTGGAGGGGAAAAACCGGAGGACCCGGAGAAAAATCCACGCGACCACAGAGATATAGAGACAAGTAAATGCCAAATATATAGGCGTCAGGGTTGGGTTCAAACCCATGCTTCCCGTATACCGAGCGAGGTAGTTAACATCTCGCCACCGTGGCACACACGAAGCGACTCCGTCCGCGTTGTCAAGGCAGTGAATCCTGTTTACCAGAGAAGGCTGATGGGGGGCGAGCGGATCGGCGCGACCCTTTGCGAGGAAGCGGGTATCGCAGAACTATCGCTGAGATCCAGCGACCCGTGGAGCACCACACGGTAGAGGGCGCCACATTCACACCCACTGTGACAATGAGATCGTTATCTTTGATCGGGTTGAAACCATCGATGCAGTACGGACGAGAACCCACCTGATTTAAACCCCTACATCAAACCAGGGATCTCGGCAGCGCCAGGCTCGGTGATCAGACCTCTGAGCCACTCGGTTACAACTGCTCCTCCTGCCTCTCAATGGGAACCCAGCAAATCACCGAATCGCTCGCATGTTGTCACGTCATCACGATGCTTGCGTTCCTCAACACACGTGCTCGTTTGTGTTGGTCGGAATGCGAATTACATTTACCCCCGCCCCCCCTCGGTTTAATTGCCTCTTCCCACTGATCCTCACCCTGTCTGCCGCCCCCTCCCTCAGTACTGCCCGACGAAGGCGGAGGCCCGGAGGAGCGCTGCTAAGATCGCGCTGATGAACTCGGTGTTTAACGAGCACCCATCTCGCCGCATCTCCCCCGAGTTCATCGAGAGCAGCGTTGCCGAGGCCCTCGCCTCGTTCAACGTGAGCGCCCAGCGACAACAGCTGACGATGTCGATGACGTCGAACCTGACAATTCTAATGATACTTGACGACGCCGATTGCGCCGGTGATACTGGCAACACAAAGATGCTCATGATGATGGTGACGCTGACGATACCAATGCTGTCGATGATGCTGGCGACACTATTGATACACATTGATGATGGTGCATTGCTGACAATTCTGATGAAACCGATGATGTTGATTCTGTTGATACGAGTGATATGATATGATATTGGTGAAATTGACACTGCTGACAATGGTGGTGGTGGTGATACTGATGATTCTGACCGTAACAATGACACCGATCTCCCACTAGTGTCAAAGATGCCATGACGTTATCAAATATGGGCAGGAGGCCATTTGTGTGCCGACTGTTGCCACCAAAATAAATAAAAAAGATGCCGAAAATTACTCAGTTTGGATGACACGTCGCCCCTTACTGTGAAACTACTGGCAAACTTTGTGAAACAGCAGCGCCTTCTTCCTTGGCGATATGCTCGCGCTATGAGAATGATGGCATAAATCCCAAATGTAACCATTATTATTATTAGAAGTGTTAATTATTCCAATGTTGGACCCCAGCAGAATGACACTGACGACGAAGATTTAGCGGTGGGCCGAGTTGACCCCTGGCCATGCCGCGTAGCTGTCGTGTGACGTCAGCAGTGTCACGACGGCAGTAAACACACACACACAGCCGCGACCACAGCGGCCTCCTGGGACAGCTGTCTAATCCCACGGCGACCCGAAATACGAGATTCCTGACGCCGCGCTGTCATTAAAACACCGCCAACTGTCAAATTTCACTCGAGATCTGAGCTCTTTGCTAACACCTGGCGACGCCAGTTGTAATCTCCGGCGAAACCTCTCCTGCAAAATTGTCAACAATTTTTTTTGCTCGCTTTTCAACGTTGCGTGGTTTTTTTTACTGAAAGACGAAAATCATCCATAATATAGATATTTTTGGGTGAGATCACATAAATATGAATGTGTTGTTAAACCCACCACCACCTGACGCAGCCAATTATTAAGGTTTTTGTCATGTTAACAGACTATGCCAATTCGTTACTAATACAACACACTGGTGTGTTGGAGAGCAAATCCACACTTTTAATTTAATTTATTAGCGAAACGTCGTACTCAGATTATAAATATTGTGTGCTGTACTTGTAACGAATTGGCATATTCTGTTTACATGATTAAACCTTACTAATTGGCTGTGTCGGGTGTGGTGATGGGTTTAACAAGACATTCATATTTACGCGATTTAACCCAAACAAAACTATTATGGATGATATTAGTTGCAAAAGCCTACGTGTATAAAACAGACAAAAATCAATCGGCACGTTTGCCCACGCGACAACTGCGTCTGTTTGGCCGTGCCGGGTGGCGGAGGCTGTGTGGCTTGAACGACGTTAACCTTACACGACGATCTGACCTGAGAGAAACCAATCGTGAATCGTAATTCCTTGTTTACATTTGTAACACTCAAAACGCTTCATCTTAGTCATATGATGTGTATGAAACCAGGTGTGAGCATCATAACAATTTTCATTTGCAGCCATGTCTATCCGCTGCTGGATGAAGGCCTCCCCACACAGCGTCGGTCATGGGGGTTGTAGTTTGACCATACTTCACCATGCTGGTCAGTGTGGGTTTGGGGGGAGGAGGGTAAAACCCACGACCGGTTTAGATATCACTCGCCACTGATGTGAGCCGTGGCAGGGAATTGAACTGGGTTTGTAGGGTTCTAAGCGCAGTGTGTAAAACACTGTACTGCGACTCGGTGGCGAGATGTTATTTGCCTCCCCTGGTATACAAGAGGTCGTGGGTTCGATCCCGACCCTGACGTCTGTATATTTGGGATTTGCATGTTCTCTCTCACTCCCTGTGGTCGCGTGGATTTGTCTCCGGGTCCTATGGTTTTTCTCTCCACATTTAGAAACATGCGGTTAGAGAATTTGGCTACGATACATTTCCACACGAACTGTCAGCACACAATTCCAGCGGCTTCGGTTTCAACACGAGCAAAACTTTGGACCGGATTCGACATTTGTTTTCGGATCAACAGAGCCAAGCTCGCTTGAACCAATGTTGATGAACTACCAGATATGTATGTATAGGCAAGGACCCTCTCTGTCTGCTAGATATGGGGCCTAGTTGTCACATGCACGAGTGGGTTTGACCATGGCCTGTGCATGTAATTGTTCACCGTGCTCCAGGGGACACACTGAAACGTCACTGTGTGGTGGCGCTGAGTTGTTTCAGCAAATAGATTCAGAGTCAGTTTTGATGTTGTCCCGTCTGTATCGTTGTTTATCGTTTCTTTTTTTTGTTCCCCTGTTCGGTGCTTTGCCCCCCCCCCCTCCGCGCAGGGAAATCCCGAGGAGGCAGACAACCCCAACACGGGCATCGGGGCCTTCCGCTTCATGCTGGAGGCCAACAAGGGCAAGAGCATGCTGGAGTTCCAGGTACCCGGCCCGCGCTGTGGTTCCGCTGAGACGCCAGACTCGTAGTGGGGGGTGGGCAGCATTCCGGTCATTGCTCGGATCTGGCTCGGCCTCTTGACCGCGGCTCGGCTCGGGCTCGAGCCACTCGCCCGCTCATATCGGAGTTCGTCCGAGTGAATCAGAATATTTGTTCATACTGGAGGAATCCAATCAGCTATGCAGCTCTTTTTCACGGATGTCCATTTAGGGGCGGCTCAGAACGTTAAGACAGCAAACGATGTAAAAACACGGTCGCAGTGCAAAGTATAGACGGGAAAGGTAAGCAAAGCAAATCACACAAAAAATACAAATAATCTAAATAAACAATCTCAAACGGCTACAACCGTGGCTTGGCTCCGGCTCTGCCTTATGGAAATCTTGTGAGCGTGGCCGGGACCGCCCGGGAGCCAGTTCAAGTAGAGCGTTCCTTTGAGGCTGGCTCGCTCGAGCCAGAGTCAAGCGAGCCTGAGCTGATCCGTGACGAAGAATGAGGGCCGTGGTGTCGACGTGCGATTGTTTGGTACTGGTGTTTCGCCTGAGCGACAGCGGTGGTGGTGGTGGTGTGTGGGAGCAGTGGTGTAGCAGTTAGCACGTTGCGCTATGAACCCGGCGACCCGAGTTCGATTCCCGCTCACGGCCAACACCGGTGATGATGATCTGAACCGGTCCTTAGCCTCCTCTAGGTCGACTCAGCCTCAAATGAGTACCTGGTGCGATGTGTAAACATCGGGCGTAGTGCTGACCACCAACCCCCTCGAGTGCCGTGCCGGTTTTCATAGTTGTTCGCTAACAGCACTTGCCCCAACAGTCTGTTACGGCTATACGGGGATCTTTATCTTTGTTTGGTGGTGGTGTGAAGTGGAGTGCATCATGAAGTCACGTGACTTGAAAATGCTGTGTGCTCGCCATATGTTCACACCTACACAATACGCGTGCACGTACACAAACCACACGCACAAAAACGTATGCACATGCACAAAAATACACACACGCGTGCTTACGAAAACGCGCATACACAGGCACACATGCTCGCAAAAACACATGCACGCAGTCACAAAGACATGAATGTGCACACACATACACATATACACACAAATAAACGCACTCATAAAAACACATGCGCACACAAACAAATGCACACGCGCACACTCATACACGCTCACGAAAACACACGCTAATCTGCATATCTTTGCACATCTGGACACATACATACACACCTGCATGCCTGCACGCATGCCTGACCACACGCATGCACGCATACCTGCCCGCACGCACACACGCACACATACATACACACGTACACACGCACGCACGCGCACACACACGCGCACACACACACAGGAGCTGATGACAGTCTTCCAGCTGCTGCACTGGAACGGCAGCCTCAAGGCCATGAGGGAGCGGCAGTGCTCTCGCCAGGTGAACCAACTTCTCCTCCACCGCACCCGAACCCTGTCCTTCCACCCGCCCCCATGAAAAGAGAAAGGTCCCTCATGTAGCCCTACAAACTGTTGGCAGGCATGTATGTAAACTAAAACTAAACACATTTTTTTATTTTACCAACGTAAGGCCTACTGAGCTATAGTATGTAGCTCTTTTCAGAAGCACCCTGGCCACAAATGACAGCCCAATGAAGTCGCTTATAATGTGGCAATGTATAGCAGCTAAAAACCGGAAGACCTGGAGAAAAATCCACGTGACCTCTGGGAGTAAGAACATGCAAACCCCAAATATGCAAGAGTCAGAGTTGGGATCGAATCCACGACCTCCTCTATACCAGGTGAGATAGTTGACATCTCGCCACCGTGGCACCCATGTATGTATGTAGGTATGTTGAACTTCTTTCACACCGTACGTAGCCAACCGTCCTAATCGGAGGTGCAGGGGAAGGCCAACAAACTAAACAAAAAAGCAGTTCTAAAGAAATTAGTATTCAATCTAGATTTTAAAAAATCTACATCAGTGCTGCTAGCGAGTACCTATGAAGGCCGGCACGGCACACACGAGCGTGTGGGTGGCCAACACTGCGCCCAGCTGCCTTTGTCTCCCCGCTGCTGATGTTTTACACATCGTATCAGATACTCACCTAAGACTGAGTCGCCCTAGGGGAGAGGCCCAGGGCCAGTTGATATTCGTCACTGTTATTGGTCGTGAGCCGATTCGAACTCGGGTCACTGGGCCTGTAGCTCAGCGCGCTAACCACTGTGCCACCGCTCCCCCTATACTCACCTGGACACCTGTGACACTGAACGACATTCACAGCAGGCATGTAACACTGCATCGATTACTCGATCACAATCAAATCTCACACGCATCAGGCCGTGGGTGTGACAATGATTATGATATTGTGTGCCATGGGTTATTGTGACCATCTACTCCGTCACCTCACCGCCCCGGCCTTCGGCGCACCCTACTGCTAACCAGGCTCAAGCCTGCTTAGCTGCTCACCCCATCCACTCGCCCACCCCCTCACCTACTAACCCATCCAATTCACCTACCTCTCTTCCATATCCATCCCCCATACACTCACGTACACGACCTACTCCCTCACTCTCAGCCCCACCACCCCCACCACACTGCCTACTCACTTTTGCACCTATCATCTTGCTCACCCACTCGACCACTCAAAGACAAAGATCCCCGTATAACCTCAACAGACTGTTGGGGCAAGTACAGTTAGCGAGCACCTATGAAGGCCAGCACAGCACACGAAGGAGGTGGGTGGCTGGCATCACGCCCAACTGCCTTTGTCTTCCCAGTGACGATGTTTACATACCGCAGCAGGTACTCATTTGAGGCTGAGTCGACCTAGGGGAGGAGGCCCAGGCCCAGTTCAGATAATCATCACTGGTGTTAACCGTGAGTGGGAATCATACTTGGGTCGCCAGGTTCACAGCGCATCATGCTAACCGCTTCACTACCACTCCCCACACTACCCACTCACACACTCGCCTACCTACCCCCCCCCCCTCCAAACTCACCTCCTCCGCCCCACTCACCCGCTTAATCATCACCCACTCCACTCAACGCGGTTTCCTCTCTCCCCCCCCGCCTCCACGGTCCAGGAGGTACTGGCGCACTACTCTGACCGCTCGCTGGACGAGGAGCTGCGCAGTCAGATGGCGCTCGACTGGGTGTCGAAAGAGCGCGAGCGCCCGGGCTGCGTGGCTCGCGAGCTGGAGGCGGCCGGGCGCGAGCTGGAGGGGGCGCGCCTCGCCGGCCGGGAGCTGCGCTTCCACAAAGAGAGAAAGGACGTGCTGATGCTGGCACTGAGCCAGCTGGGGCCCGCCCGCGCCGCCACCGAGTGCTGAGGGCCGCTCGCCCGCTGGGGAGCGGACGACGGACGGGTTGACGAGTGGATCGTGTAGCGGATCGGTGATGGTTGATGATAATGATGGAGAAGGGGGAGAGAGAGCGAGAGAGATTGAGGGGTAAAGTGTTAGAGGTCGGCCGGATGCTAGCACGAGCCGTGAGCCTAACCAGCGAGCCAGACGGACTTGAATTGTACTTCTAGCTAACACCCTGACCAACCAAACATTAGCCCTACCCATATCCATACAATAAACTAGCCAACCAGGCCTAAGCCCTAGCCCTGACTCTAACTCTAACACTAGCCCCTCATCTGTCGCGTCACTCGGTCCACTCTTCACTTTTTGTTCACGTTTCACTTGCGACGTTCACCTCACCACACGTCGCTCGCCCCCTTCCCCACGCTCCTCCCCCTGCCCACCTCCTCTGCGCTCCAAGGGGACCAGAGGGTCCTCCTGCCTATCCCACTCTACCACCCGACAGGGCTGGGCCCTCGGGCAGCACGTGGTAGACGAGCGATCGGGCAGACGGGCGGGTGAGGGCTGTGGGCATGAGGGATTGTCTCTAACCCAAGCAAGAGCCCTAACTCTCACCCTAACCCCGGCATGAGCCCGAACCCAGACAAGAGCCCTAACCCTAACGAGGGAATCGTTTACGTCCGGAGTCGACGGTGTTGGCGAGCGTAGGAATGCGTCGCTAAACCAGGCGCGGACGTGAGTGTCCGTCTCCGTACTTTCTGTGCGCGCTGCTTCTATTGTCTGCTCCCATCACGGTTTCCATCGTCGCGGCCTATCGAGGGCGCGGCAGCAGCGAGGGCCCCTCAAAATTGGAGCCTCGCTCGCTCCACCCTCACCGGCGCTGCCGAGCAACGGCGGGGGGCGACCGGACGACCCCCTCGTTAACACCGGTCGACCGTCGAGTTGAATTTGTTTTGACCTGGTGAGAACTTGAGAGATGACAGTGGTCTTAATTTGCAAGAGTGACTTGACCTGGGTCACCAAAATAACAAAAGCAATATCAGAACTATTGAGCCAATAAAAAATTGGAGCAAAAGCTAAACCATTTTACTTCACCAGATGAAGCCCAGTGAGCCATTAACACGTTTTCAGAAGCAACCTGACCACACGTGATCATCAAAGTGGCTTATATCATCATCGTCACACGTGGGAATGTATAAGTCATATAATCTAAACGCACGTTTCTAAATATGGAAGAGGGCAAAACGGGAGGAACCCACAGAACAAATCCACACTAGGACCACCACAAGGAGAGAGAACACGGATCGCCAGGGTCTGGGATCGAACCCACGCTTTCCTGCATACCAGGCGAGGGAGATAACATATCTTCGTCACCGTGACGCCCCAAAATATCAATTGGGGCAAAAACAAGTAAATAGAAATCGGACCAAACGCAAGCGATGATGAGACACGGACGGATAACGGATGGGCCGAGGCTTAGCACCTGCCCGTCCCGTACTCTAGTTGCCCGGGGTTGATGCTTATACAGACCTGTGCCAAATAAACGCCTTGCTGGAATTGTCACGTGCCATTCGGGGTTAGGGTGGAATAAAGGATGGCAGCGCCCAGTCAGTGGGTTTCTGACAGGAATCGGGAGACGACCCTCCGCTCGAAAGGTTTTGTCGCAAACGATGCACAGTCTCTGCTTCTCGTTCACTGCGCCAGTCCGGAGTGCACAAAAAATACGGACGGGGTAAACGTTCGTTCTGGTCTTGATCGGGGCAGGTTAAAACACCACTTTTTTAATAGGGGTTTTTTAAAATCGGGTTTCGAAGACCTTCCAGATTCATTTTGACGAGAATAAGCAGAATGTAGTTGAGAACAAATCCTGATGAGAAACCCAGTACATGGTGAGAATAACAGTAGATCCGAAGGCAGAATAACTGTCGTTTTTCTGTGTGTGTGTGGTCATTTTATACTCTTTTTCATATAGGAATTGAACCTGTACGTTTAATGCTGTTGGTGTTTCAGGACGGTGTTGCAGTTAGGCACGTAACGATCCATAAACAGAAGAACCACCTCTCGACGACGGTAATTGGTTCCACAAAACCGGTCGTTATGTGATTTTGTCATTAAGCGAGTATAGGAAATAGGCTTAATTCGTCCTGATAGCATCGAACGTTACCCTTTTTTTGCACGAAAAACGTACTTTATAACATTTCAACAATGGATATTAATGCATGAAGATGCTAACATCAAACACATAGTATTAAAATAAATGTTGGTTAATCAATGTATTAATTAATATTTACTGTACCTACAACAGCCCGTCGTTAACAGGGGAATGGTCGGTAAGCGAACACATTGGGCTCTATGGAGGCACTTAAACTACACTACTATAAACTACACTATACACTACACTACTATACACTACACATGGGGCTCTATGGGTCGTTAACAGGGGTGCTAGTTAAGAAGAGGGGTTCTATTGTACTACACGGATTTAAACCCGTCATTAATTCACAATGCACTCATGTAATATCACGTGTAAAATAATAATATAATGTATATGTTTGCGTTCATGCAAATTAAATCTCTCACAATCGCCGAGGAACCACAGACAAAGTGGACGGCAGCAGCCAGTTGGTGAGCTGGCGCTGCCAAAAGTTGCCCAAGCTCTGCGATCTCTATATATGAAGGTGTTTTCAACCAATGAATGAGTGTTTATACATGTTGGGAGGACACCGGAGCACCCGAAGAAAACCCACATGTGTGAGCGAGGGGGCAACCCTCTATCCCAGCATACAGAAGGGACAGATGACGTTTAGGGCACGGCGCCTCCTCGACGCCCAATGGGAAGGGATTTTCACGACATGTGATCACAGGCCACGTGTGTTGCTGATAATTACACGAACACTTGTCGGCCACGATAGATTATTATTTTAGTCATTTATCAGATAAGGCTCCACTGACCGAAATAGCTGTTTTTCGGAAGCTACCTGGGAACAAATGATAGCTCAACGACGTGGCTTATCTCGTGGAAATTGATAGCGACTAAATACTCCAAATGCGTGGTGTTGATTCTAAATGTGGAGGGAAAAGCCAGAGGACCTGGAGAAAAATCCACACGACTATGGGGAGAGAGAGCGTGCAAACTCCAATTGTACGGTTATACAACGGTTTTAAAGGAATTGAGCAAGTGTAATTGTCACAAATTAGACAACTGTGGAGAGGGAAAATCGTTACGTGCCTACTAATGACGATGTTAATTCGTATTGCTGTTCGTCTTAATTATTTGACACACACCGTCAGCTACATTTCAGTCACTGCACAGCACGCCACCTCGTCGTGGCAATTATGAACCTGTGTTGATGTGATTTTGTTTAAAAACCACAGTATTTAATACATTCCACATCGTAGCATTTTTTTTATACGTACGGTTATATTAATCATGATTTTGTTTTTACTAAAGCACGTGTTTAACGGTTTAACCACTAGCTGAAGTGTTGTTTGCAATTCAGTATTATCGTCGTACTCTCGCTGTATCTCCTCTGGAGTCGATGTCCACGTGCGCACTATCTATGTATAAACACTACGTCATTTCCACACATGGCCATTCGTGGTTTATTTGCGACCGGGGAGGGCATCGCTCACTCATCAACGGCGACATTCCTCTAGCTTGGCAGGCTGGTTGGCTAGATACGTGGGTGGGTGAGTGGGTGAATGAATGGCAGGCAGACCGGGTTACAGGTGGGTGGCTGAGCGGCACACTCGGTGACTGGGTAGTTGGGTGGCAGGCTGGGTAACTGGGTGGCTGGGTAGCTGGGTGGCAGACAGTGACTTGTTAAGTGGGTTGTAGGTTGAGCAACTGGGTAGGTAGTTGGCGGGGTGGGAAGCTGGGTAGGTGAGTCGCTGGCTGGGTAGGTGGGTTGGTGAGTGGGATACGTAGGTGGGTAGCTGGTGGATGTGATTGATGGTGTGGTAGTTGAAGTTGCTGTGGAAGTGGTCGTGGTTATGTTTGACGCCAGGGGGCGGCGTGGTGCCACGTGGGGATGTAGCTGCACCCCCACCACCCCCTTTATTACCTGTCGCTCCATCCCTCGCCAGGTGAGACGCACTGTAACACAAAGATTATGGAACTAGCACCATGCTGTAATATGTTAGTTTTATAAACAGCGTCGTCCCTATTACATATCTCAATCGCTGAGAGATGCCAAAGTTGGTCCAACGGTTCCAACCACGTGCCGACGTTGGGAAATTTTTATTTTAGCAAATGTGACAGACTGACAGCAGCCGCAACAGCAAGGATGCAGCGATAGACAAACCGTGTGCCGGCCTCATCCTTATTAGAACTCATCAGCACAGTACAGGCACCAATGCTCGCTGCTGCTGCGAGTGAGTGCACGAGTGACCGAGTTATCATCTATGCGCTCGCAGGCGTGGGGGGGGGGCGCCGAATAGAACCCCATGAGCTCGACCTTGAGTACCGTCCAGCTCTGCCCCCAAGTGACCTCCGCATTCCTCCCCAGGTGCGGAACCTCCCTGCCGCAGGTGATGATGGGTGCTGCTGCTGCCGTGCGTTTATATGATGAAACCGAGATGATTTACTCTCCAGAAATACCCCCCATCCCCCCTACGGGGAGGAGATGTCACCGTGACGGACTCGCACGTGGCAGGGTACGTGACAGGGTAATGCCGCCTCTGATTTGTGGGGCCACCTCTGCGTTTGCGTTGAGCGAAAAATCCCTCCCCTCCATTCCATGCGAGTCAGTGGGTGGGTGCGTGGGTTAGAGGGAAGGTGAGTGAGAGGTTGGGTGGGTGGCTAAGAGGGTAACGTCAGTGGCTGGGTTTGTGAAGTCGTAACCGGGTGAGTGAGTGAATGAGTAGTTCAGTTGGGTGACTGAGTGGGTAGGGTTGGTTTATTGGTGGGTGAGTGGGTGGGTGAATGAGAGGGTATAGAGAGGGGGTGATGGGGAGTGGTGATTGGGGGGGGGGGGATGTGAGAAACACTTTGGACGGGGTGAGGAAATTAATTAGTTTTTTTTCTGGTGAATTGCTGTCCTAATTGAGGGGCCAATTAGTGAGTGGAGAGAGATTATATATTTATTTATGTATTTAATGATAGAGTCGCGAATGTTGTGGGATGCAGGACTCGGCGTAATTCCTCGCTAATTTGATTCCCTGCGTCGCTGGTAGGCTGTGTTGTGGCGATTAGCAAAGTGGTGTATACTGGATGTAGTGTTCCGGTTGTAAACCGGAAACATTTTCCGGCGTGATAAAAAAATAAGGACCATTTCGTGGGAAGTCGTTTTTTTATGGATGGAGTCGTCAACGTCATATGATTGTGGAATTTCCATCACGCAGGCTCAGGGATAGAATAGGAATGACTGTGAATGGTGTTCGTCTAGCAGTGGATAGACACTGATTGCTGATGATTATAATGATGATGAAATTTCCACGAAAGCCTCACCAAGTCTCAAGACTCCTCGGGAGGGTCCTGCTACCTTCGGAACAACAGGGCTCGCAGCGAGCAGTGCACCTCCCTGTGTGCACGGACGTGGAAGATGTCGCTTCACAAGGCTTCACGCGCACCCTGCGGATGAGGCCCACAATGTCGAAACCGGTCTGGCAGGACGGAGGAGAGACATTCTTGGTTTATCCAGTCTTGGTGTGCTCACCATCACGCCACAGTAGCTCTCTGTCAACAACACTCTCTTAAAGGGAAGCTATACATACAATACTTTTACTATTATTATTTTTTTACCAGGTAAGTCCCACTGAGCTATATAGCTCTTTTTCAGAAGCGACCTGGCCACAAATGATAACTCAATAAAGTCGCTTATCACGTGGAAATGTATAGCAGCCAAATACTCGAAATTCGTGTTAAAAGTGGAGGGAAAATTCGGAGAAAAATCCACACGACTCAAATATAATGGCGTGAGGGGCGGGTTCGAACCCACGACCTCCTGTATACCAGGCGAGGTAGTTAACATCTCACCACCGTGGCACCCACATATATAGTATATCGTAGTGATATGCAAAAGGGTCAGTGCCGGAAACATCGCCTTTTATTTTTGTTGTCCATTTAAAGCCACACACGTACACACCGTGCTGTTATTGATGAATGTTTTTATCGTTTTTGATGTTGTTAATTTTGCTTGTGCACCACTGCCAACGCAGCAGCAGCATTGCGGCGTAATTTGTATAATTATATTCCGTTTTCGCGAGTAATGGCGCCAGCAATGATGTTCAGCAGCTAAATGCCAATTTGGAGGTCTGCCAGCCACGACGAGAGGGCTTTAGCAGAGAGACAGAGAGTTCGTGTCGTGTTGCTGCTCCTCCTACTCTGTGGAAGGAGCACAGACGACGGTGGGTTTACTGTCGGGCCCATAAATTGGGTTGTATGGCCACAATCGCACGACAGTACTGTGGGTTGTCGTTAATATATCTACATACAGTAATCCCTCGCCACTTCGCGGTTCAAGTTTCGCGGCCTCAGTGCATCGCGGATTTTTCGAACTGATTTAAAGGCCTCATTATACCTGTGCAGTAACACCATCATCATCATCATTCATCATCACATTCATCGAACTGCACAGGTCTGTCATCGTCGTCATTGTCATCGTCATTGTCATCGTCGTCGTCGTCATTACTGGAGTCAAGTCTCAAGATACTACTGTCATTGGTGAGTGTAGAACACCATAATGCGTATCGTATGAGAGAGAGAGAGTGAATGTATAATATTAAGGTTTTATAATTAAATAGATTTAAGTAAAATATATATAAAGTATAAATATACATATTTTAAACATTCTGGTACCCACACACACATATACGGAAATTCCTAGGGGGCCAATCCTACTTCGCAGATTTTCACCTATTGTGAGGGGTTCCGGTCCCAATTAACCGCGATAAACGAGGGATCACTGTATATCTCTTCTGGACTCTATGTAGTTCTATGTGTTTCAAGGTATCTCTATGGGTTTCTATGTATCTCTATGTGTGTCTATAGGTCATGCCCTCTAAAGGGACATCTGCACCGGTTAGAAACATTCAGGCTGGCCTACCTACGATCCATCCTGGGTTTAACCAGGCTGGATTGTGTGATGAGCTCACAAATCCTTAAAAGATCTGGACACAGTCCCATGAGTGATCTCCTCCGGGGTCATGTAGGCTCGCATGCCCAGCCAACGCATGCTTAAGCATCTTCTGTTTGGTCGGATAGAGGAGGTTAAACGGGCACGACACGGGTTGGAAAATAGATGGACGGATGCAGTACAGGAGGATGTGGAGCTTAGTGGACTTCCCAAACACTGGTACCAGCGGTGTCAAGATCGACCTCTATGGAGGAGGCTCGTGAAGGACACTCCTGGGCAGTTGGAGGCAGTCGCCCTCCAACAACGACGGAGGGCAGAGGAGCGATGCTCACAACAACGAGTGGAGAGCCAGGCATCTACAATTTAGCAAAATTGCACAGTAGCACAAAATGGCACAGCCAATGTGTGTATCTGCCAGTCATCTCAGACACCTGAGTTTGTCCCGTCACCTGTCAGCGAGCCTTGGACACTTCATGTGGCCTCAAAGTGCATCTGGCCTGGCACAGGCGCCGTGGTGAGGTCACCATCACTTGGCGGCTGGTCTTATAGGGTTACTGTTAGGGCCACAGTGTGGGTTTCATGGCGGCAATCGCACCACCGTGGCTCGTGGCTCTCATTTTACGTTCACGAAGATGTGGTGCAGCATCGGCCTGGTGATGTTCTGACGCAGTTGATGGTTATACCACCAGGAGGAGGAGGAATGTCAAAGCCAGGAGGAGGTGTTTGAATCTCAAAGCCAGGAGGAGGTGTTTGGGTCTCGAATGAGGAGGTGTTTGTTCTATGTCCGCGTTTTCCCACTATGTTCGCACAGCAGCAGCTGCAGCAGCTGCATCGTCTAGGATGGGTACCAGCAGCAGCGTTCGTCCTCTTCTGGGTGAGATTCTAGGATGGGTGACAGCAGCAGCGATCCCAGAAGGGATGGGGTCGGGACTTGAGTGGGCGGCGAGGTGACGTCGTTGACGTCTCGCTTGACGATGGGTACAGTTGCCGTTGGCAACAATAATTATAAGGAGCTTTTTCACCTTTTGCTCATTTGCAACTGTTTAATAAGCGCTCACTCTGTGAGGTTTATAGCTGCGTGTGAAAGCGTTTACGGGGAAGTGACGGGGTGTGGGGTGGGGGTTGGTAGCTGGGTCACTCCGGGGATTAAATAGAAGGGGGTCCCCCCTCCCTCCCTGCCCCCACCCCCTGCCCCCCCCCCTCCCTACCCCCCATCCTCTGTCCCCCCTCCATGCCCCCCTCCTCCATGCCCCCACCCTCTGCCCCCCCTTCCTGCCCCCATCCCCTGCCCCCCACCCCCTGCCCCCCTCCCTGCCCCCCACCCCCTGCCCCCCCTCCTTGCGCCCCCTCCCTGCCACCTGCCCCCCCAAGTTTCCGTTTGCCCGTAAAATCTCAGCCGGTGCGCGCGGTGACGTCACCGGGGGCGCTATAATAGCGGCGATTGTGGCGAGAAACTCGTAAAAGCTCAGAGGGGCAAAGTGGAATTAACCACGAGGTGACATCATGTCTCC